ACTGGGTCTTTTTTTTTCAGCAGTAAGTATAGTGATGTGCTCTTTGCTAAGATGGTCCATGAATCATCACTGTGCCCTTGAGAAAGACATCTACTTAAGTCAACATGAAATCAAAATTCAGAAAATTTCTTGGGAGCATCACTACATGTTATTCCACAGGAGAAAACACTGTAACAAATGACATTTCGTCATGCAAAATTACATCGAACAAATCTTTCAAATGAACAATGAATAAGTTAATTTTATTTACTTCCAAGCAATGATTTGTATTGTACACAGTAATAGCCTTTTCAGTTCACTGAGGTCTCTATTTTGTATTTGACCCCTTTGGAGACTTTCGAATTCTGACTACAGTATATCTAAATAGCCTTACTGAATGTAAATGAACTTGGCTGGCACAATACACATTGATGTTGCGAACGCATCTGAAAAATAATTCAGGACACAGAGTGAGCTGGTGCAGAAAAAGAGCACAATCCAAGTTGTCCTAAAACATGAGATGTGCTTTATATTAAAGGGGACATCGGATGCCCATTTTCCACAAACTGGTATGATTCTTTAGGGTCTTCATGTAATGTCTGCAACACACTTTGGTTAAAATTCCTCAACTGTTGTGTAAAACACCTTTTTTATTTGTTTTTACCTTGTCAAAAACAGCTCTGTTCACAGCGACCCGTTTCGGTGCATGTCTCTTTAAATGATAATGAGCTACTGCTCACCCCACCCCTCTCTTCCGTTGGGCGTGTCGACACAAGACTCGTCAATTGCTGCCTTGGACTCCATATATGGTCTTTATCAAATAGCTAGCTATCTACATAGAAACCGGCTGCAAATTGAAAGTGCTCACTGGATGACACTGTTTCAGACCAAAATTTCATCCAGTGTCCCCTTTAACTGTACAGCTTAAACCAGCCTGTCAAATGTGTGTGCTGTTTAATTTGAGACCAGTTTTCCTCAGTGCATAACTTACATTTTTATGGCTGTATCCTGGTCTGTAAATTCACACAAGTACTTCTATTTTGCAAGGTTCATCCAGACAGCTAACAGGTTTCTGTTAACCTTCACAGACTTCAATGAATGAGCACAGATGTGCAACACTTTTTATAGATAAAGGCAGAGCCATAGTTTCTACAATAAGTCACTGTTTAAGAATAAAGAAAAAAAAGCTATTTGTTTTTTTCTCCCTTTTGTACTGAAAATAAACTAAACCAGGTTACGTACCGAAACAGACATTTTTTGTGTACCGTTACATCCCTAGTAAACACAGAAGAGGTGGTACAATATTAAAATGAATTTTTATCCTGGTATTTTCATTTTGTGGAATAAAAGAAGTAGGTATATTAGATGAATATCTTAAATTATGAGTTTATGAGTCTGTAAAGTCTACTCAAGCAGAAAAAACAGAGATAAAACTCACCGTAAAATTATAATTACAAGAACAAAAAATAAATAAAAATAGGACAGGAATTCCCAAGATTAATTAAAAAAGGTCTATAAATAAATAGTATATAAAAACAGTAAATAAAACTGTAATTATTCATACGTTCCCTCAAGGTCAAAATTGCTTAATCAAACATTTGAGGACAAATTCACTAAACAGTTGCATCACTTTTGTGTGCAGTATTTCAATGTAAAACTCTGCATCTTATTCACTAACAAGCCACAATTCAGTTTAAGTCAATGTCACTTTTTTTCAGTAAAAATATTCTATGCAAATTAGGCTTGATATTCACTCTTAATTTGCTTGGCACAATTAACACTATATTTTTGTTTAGAAGAGACGTTTGTGTACATTTTCAAGCCATCATGCCAGTGGTGATTCATCAAATGATGATCAAATGTGAAACATTTCACTGGGCTTAGGTTAATTGATAAGAAAACAATTTTATAATTTTTTAAATCCTAGTACAAGAGTTTTGTGAAATAGTAGTGAAACAAATGCATCCTTGCCATAAACCTGCACAGAAGCAACACAAGAGCACATCTGCATTGTCTATATTTTCATCTCTCTCCCTCTCTCCCTCTCTCCCTCTCTCTCTCTCTCTCGCTCTCTCTCTCTCATAAACATGCACCATTCTTTTCCTCAACACATATGCTCCCACAGCTAGTGCTCAATAAATAAAAACCCACCTAATGCAATGTAAGTGCAATCTTTCTCTAGCCTTGATCTGCAGATTGACACTTCAGAGGCAACTGATCTGAGGCGACTCCAAGTCAAAGTCTCTCTGACACCAACAGAAACAAAGACGAGCCGACAGACACGTGAATGGAATTCTGGGTATTTCTAGTTAGGCTAGGATCAAGCATAGAGCATCAGGTGCAAACCTCCCGGGGATATTAATCAACAGCAGGTGAACAGGAGCAGGTGAGATGAGAGATACAGGGCTTTGTGAAATATCATCTAAAACATTGTTTGGCAGATCTGAAAACATCCAATTACTGAGCTCTCAGAATGAGACGGGTACGCTGTCCGGACAACATCATTTACAGTCCTTCGGGACATTATCTATCTTTTTTATACCTGCTGGAAAGATGCTGTGTTTTGAATGCTGGCATGGGATGCTGGTGCATTGGTGTCCCCATCAGGCTTCTTAATCTAATTTGAAGTACCATGTAAATACCATACTATATAAATATGTTAACCATTCAGTGCCATGGGGAACCATGCATGTAAATGACTAAAATTTTTTGTCTAAAAAATTCACACAAATTTCATACCAGTAAATCAATAAATATCAATAAATAATATATATTTTCAAAATATCTGTTATAAATAAATAACACGTATAAATTATAAATAAATTAATTAATGACTAATACAAAATTAACAAATTCCATAAATATTCGGTCTGGCAAATTGTCCTTTTACAATTTTTTTTTTTTAAGATTTCAAAGGTGCGGTCACATTAGAAAACATTCTGTGAAATATTGTTGGCAAAAGGGTCCATTGTCTATTGTCAGTCTAGCGATGTATGAAGCACAGCTCACAGAAGTCATTTTCAAACCCAGCAGCTTTCTGTTGGTCAACACAGCAAATTCGCACAACCAATTTGAATCTGATGCAAAATCTGTGTGGGGAAATCTTTTGTCCTCACATTAAATTCCAGACCGCATGGATTCCTACTAAAATGACTGGATGAAAATTCGCCGAACAGCGGTGAATTTGACAGCAGCTTAAGGTTTGTGTCTGCACTTACTGTATATTTTAAAAATAAACCAACATTGTGAATTATTCAGTAAAAAGTGGGACAACTTGCCCCAGTCACTCCTATATAAACATACCATGGTTTTAGCCTCTGAGATCATCAATGAACCACAGCTTTACCAAAAAGATCATGGCAGTACCATGAACCAAATTTCAGCACGGCTAATTCCAGAAAAAAAGTCCAACACAATTTAATTCACAATTTAATTCCCTCCCAAGCGTAACCTCAATAGCCATTCCTATGCTTCAAATAGCATCAGAAAAACACATGGGCACCCTGAGTACATACCCTCCCTCTTTACAATATTAGCCAGCATGGTAAACAGACTCTGTGAACCTTTTCATTTCTCCCGATGGTTTGAGGTTTTTCTCTCATGCAATTATCAGTAGCTTAGGCATTTTCACTCTTACTCTGCCACTTTGTCATACACACAAAAGCAAATACACATGCTAAAAGCAAGGGCAAACAGGGTGACATATGGGGAATGAAATGCCACAGCAGTCATTTTTCAGTATGTGAGTGCCACTCCATTATTTAATTAGCACATGCTATGATAAGTTTAATGAACCAGCAGTGCGCTCCCTTCCTTATCAAAGGCCCGGCCCGTGTTTGTGTTTAGGTCTCTGATTAAATGACCAGATCTGCTGTGACAGTAGTCTGGGGGGATCAGATTACAGAACAGACCAAATTGACTTTGTCCCCTTTTGTTTTTAATATCCACTACAAGATGAGCTGCCTCAAACCATGGGATGAAACATGAGATAAACGCTGGTAAAAGAGATCAAGCTGTGGTGGATTAAAGCAGCCGTTGTCTTGACAAAGGGTGGTGGTTAAATTGGACTCACGTCTACCATGAAGGCTGAAAATACGCCTTAAACAAACGAATTAAACGTGGATTCTGACAGCTAATCCATGTGAGGAACAGTTTTATTTCGGGAAAGCAATTAATTCTAATCTGGTTATAGGCACCTGCGTTATGAACTAAATATGCCCTGTTCGGAGAAGAATTATGAGAATGTAAAAAAAAATAAAAAAATAAAAAATGACGCAGAGTATAAAATGCTGCAAACAGGGGAAAACACTGAGGAAGAAAAATGAGAAAGTGATCTGAAAGAGAGGAAGCAAGAGAGAAAAAGACTGAAAATTAGCTCTGGAAGAATAAAGAAAAGGATATATTACATGACAAGAGGAATACACTCAATCTGACATATCCTTTTCACTATACAACAGAATAATTTTCTGGAACTTCATACATGCAAGGCCATTCATAATGCAGTAGTTTTCAATCGCAAATGGAATTTTTGATGTGCAAATGGACAACATTGATGTGCATCAGTGCTTTTAAACTATACCTGGGAGAAATCCCAAGCTAGACAAACCCTGACGCATAATGCATACCATGATATATTAAACACCTGGTCCACCATCTGCTTCTGTACGATACCCTCACACTATGGAGGCAAGTTCACATCGAATGTCATAGCAACAGTGCAGATGGTCACAATGTTACGCCCCTACCTTTAAGAAATCTTTACAACAAAATAATTACCCAAGAACACGCAGTTTCTGATCTTTCTTTAGATGTAGCATCAAGCATATGTGGAACAGACGGGATACTGACCTTCTAGAAAGCAACCAAACACTTCAAACAATGTTTGACAACAATATTCTCAATGTATGGCAGCATATGTTATGCATAAGACAAATTTCACCAAGGTCTAGGTCGGCTAGGCCCCATCCCGAGCAGACACTGAGAGGTGAAGTGTGGTGTGAAAAGGTAAAGACAGCACTCACCGGTTCTTTAGCTTTCTGCGCTAACACTGCAAAGGTGGACAGCTTGCTGCACAGGCATTTGGTGTGGGAGACTGCCGGCGATGGGAACGTTTGGCAGCTCTCTGCGTCCCAGTTTTCTTCGCCAGCCTCTCTGTTGATAGGGTATAGCGACAACACACACAAACAGGGAACAAAAAAAAAAGAATGAATTAATTGGGTCATTCCATGAGGGAGAGCGAGAGACTGTAGTGAATATGGTGCCATGAGAACTAGTCGATGACAACCCCACTCCAAATGCTCTCAGCCACAATGGCCCTCAAGTCCACCGGCCTTGCTTTTATAATGGGCCGTCCTGCCTATTCATCTAGCCTTTCTGCAAATATCTGCTTGTCATAAACACTTTCAGGGTCTCGTCGATGTCATACCTACCACCTTCCATCATCCTCTTACTCAAAGTATCTGATACTGTATCTGAACTGTAATTATAATCATGTGATTGTTACAGAAAATCCTACTTTCATTCACCTCCTTCATTCATCCAGTAACAATCCATATTTATATAACAGTGTGCCTACATTTACACTACCATCCAAAAGTTTGGGGTCAATTTTAAATAAATTACTTTTATTCAGGAAGGATGCATTGAATTGATCAAGAGTGATGGTGAAAACCATTTATATTGTTATAAAATATTTCTATTTTTAAATAAATGCTGTTTGACAACACTGGCATAAATTAAATGTCAAAGTATATTACAATAGAAAACAGTTATTTTAAGTTGTAATAGTATTTTTACAATATTACTGTTTTTACTGTATTTCTCATCAAATAAATGCAGCCTTGGTAAGCATGAGACTTCTTTCAAAAACATAATACAAAAACATAATAACCTTACCCACCCCAAATGTTTGAACGTTAGAGTATATATGCACATATTTACATAATCTGTTTCAAATGTATTTATTTGTATGCACATTGAACAAGCTGCCAATGTGACCATGTGAACTTAAAATTCTCCCACATATGCACATGTTAAGTTCAGGGAATAAATAATGGGAATGGAGGAGGGGGAGTTTTAAAACATTTGTTAAACGTAAACTGTAAAGTTTCATGTTGATCCTCAGATTACACTCACTGCTGAGGCCAGATGGTCGGACTAAGTTGAACTTCTAATTATGGATTCATCAAATAGTGTACAACAAAAAGCACAACTGATTAAATATGTGTAACATTCTGTTGAAACAAATGAAAATTCAAGTTCAGAGCCTAGTCAAGTCAAATATGGCTGTACATATCCCGTCAAGTACTGGGTCTTTTTTTTTCAGCAGTAAGTATAGTGATGTGCTCTTTGCTAAGATGGTCCATGAATCATCACTGTGCCCTTGAGAAAGACATCTACTTAAGTCAACATGAAATCAAAATTCAGAAAATTTCTTGGGAGCATCACTACATGTTATTCCACAGGAGAAAACACTGTAACAAATGACATTTCGTCATGCAAAATTACATCGAACAAATCTTTCAAATGAACAATGAATAAGTTAATTTTATTTACTTCCAAGCAATGATTTGTATTGTACACAGTAATAGCCTTTTCAGTTCACTGAGGTCTCTATTTTGTATTTGACCCCTTTGGAGACTTTCGAATTCTGACTACAGTATATCTAAATAGCCTTACTGAATGTAAATGAACTTGGCTGGCACAATACACATTGATGTTGCGAACGCATCTGAAAAATAATTCAGGACACAGAGTGAGCTGGTGCAGAAAAAGAGCACAATCCAAGTTGTCCTAAAACATGAGATGTGCTTTATATTAAAGGGGACATCGGATGCCCATTTTCCACAAACTGGTATGATTCTTTAGGGTCTTCATGTAATGTCTGCAACACACTTTGGTTAAAATTCCTCAACTGTTGTGTAAAACACCTTTTTTATTTGTTTTTACCTTGTCAAAAACAGCTCTGTTCACAGCGACCCGTTTCGGTGCATGTCTCTTTAAATGATAATGAGCTACTGCTCACCCCACCCCTCTCTTCCGTTGGGCGTGTCGACACAAGACTCGTCAATTGCTGCCTTGGACTCCATATATGGTCTTTATCAAATAGCTAGCTATCTACATAGAAACCGGCTGCAAATTGAAAGTGCTCACTGGATGACACTGTTTCAGACCAAAATTTCATCCAGTGTCCCCTTTAACTGTACAGCTTAAACCAGCCTGTCAAATGTGTGTGCTGTTTAATTTGAGACCAGTTTTCCTCAGTGCATAACTTACATTTTTATGGCTGTATCCTGGTCTGTAAATTCACACAAGTACTTCTATTTTGCAAGGTTCATCCAGACAGCTAACAGGTTTCTGTTAACCTTCACAGACTTCAATGAATGAGCACAGATGTGCAACACTTTTTATAGATAAAGGCAGAGCCATAGTTTCTACAATAAGTCACTGTTTAAGAATAAAGAAAAAAAAGCTATTAGTTTTTTTCTCCCTTTTGTACTGAAAATAAACTAAACCAGGTTACGTACCGAAACAGACATTTTTGTGTACCGTTACATCCCTAGTAAACACAGAAGAGGTGGTACAATATTAAAATGAATTTTTATCCTGGTATTTTCATTTTGTGGAATAAAAGAAGTAGGTATATTAGATGAATATCTTAAATTATGAGTTTATGAGTCTGTAAAGTCTACTCAAGCAGAAAAAACAGAGATAAAACTCACCGTAAAATTATAATTACAAGAACAAAAAATAAATAAAAATAGGACAGGAATTCCCAAGATTAATTAAAAAAGGTCTATAAATAAATAGTATATAAAAACAGTAAATAAAACTGTAATTATTCATACGTTCCCTCAAGGTCAAAATTGCTTAATCAAACATTTGAGGACAAATTCACTAAACAGTTGCATCACTTTTGTGTGCAGTATTTCAATGTAAAACTCTGCATCTTATTCACTAACAAGCCACAATTCAGTTTAAGTCAATGTCACTTTTTTTCAGTAAAAATATTCTATGCAAATTAGGCTTGATATTCACTCTTAATTTGCTTGGCACAATTAACACTATATTTTTGTTTAGAAGAGACGTTTGTGTACATTTTCAAGCCATCATGCCAGTGGTGATTCATCAAATGATGATCAAATGTGAAACATTTCACTGGGCTTAGGTTAATTGATAAGAAAACAATTTTATAATTTTTTAAATCCTAGTACAAGAGTTTTGTGAAATAGTAGTGAAACAAATGCATCCTTGCCATAAACCTGCACAGAAGCAACACAAGAGCACATCTGCATTGTCTATATTTTCATCTCTCTCCCTCTCTCCCTCTCTCCCTCTCTCTCTCTCTCTCGCTCTCTCTCTCTCATAAACATGCACCATTCTTTTCCTCAACACATATGCTCCCACAGCTAGTGCTCAATAAATAAAAACCCACCTAATGCAATGTAAGTGCAATCTTTCTCTAGCCTTGATCTGCAGATTGACACTTCAGAGGCAACTGATCTGAGGCGACTCCAAGTCAAAGTCTCTCTGACACCAACAGAAACAAAGACGAGCCGACAGACACGTGAATGGAATTCTGGGTATTTCTAGTTAGGCTAGGATCAAGCATAGAGCATCAGGTGCAAACCTCCCGGGGATATTAATCAACAGCAGGTGAACAGGAGCAGGTGAGATGAGAGATACAGGGCTTTGTGAAATATCATCTAAAACATTGTTTGGCAGATCTGAAAACATCCAATTACTGAGCTCTCAGAATGAGACGGGTACGCTGTCCGGACAACATCATTTACAGTCCTTCGGGACATTATCTATCTTTTTTATACCTGCTGGAAAGATGCTGTGTTTTGAATGCTGGCATGGGATGCTGGTGCATTGGTGTCCCCATCAGGCTTCTTAATCTAATTTGAAGTACCATGTAAATACCATACTATATAAATATGTTAACCATTCAGTGCCATGGGGAACCATGCATGTAAATGACTAAAATTTTTTGTCTAAAAAATTCACACAAATTTCATACCAGTAAATCAATAAATATCAATAAATAATATATATTTTCAAAATATCTGTTATAAATAAATAACACGTATAAATTATAAATAAATTAATTAATGACTAATACAAAATTAACAAATTCCATAAATATTCGGTCTGGCAAATTGTCCTTTTACAATTTTTTTTTTTTAAGATTTCAAAGGTGCGGTCACATTAGAAAACATTCTGTGAAATATTGTGGGCAAAAGGGTCCATTGTCTATTGTCAGTCTAGCGATGTATGAAGCACAGCTCACAGAAGTCATTTTCAAACCCAGCAGCTTTCTGTTGGTCAACACAGCAAATTCGCACAACCAATTTGAATCTGATGCAAAATCTGTGTGGGGAAATCTTTTGTCCTCACATTAAATTCCAGACCGCATGGATTCCTACTAAAATGACTGGATGAAAATTCGCCGAACAGCGGTGAATTTGACAGCAGCTTAAGGTTTGTGTCTGCACTTACTGTATATTTTAAAAATAAACCAACATTGTGAATTATTCAGTAAAAAGTGGGACAACTTGCCCCAGTCACTCCTATATAAACATACCATGGTTTTAGCCTCTGAGATCATCAATGAACCACAGCTTTACCAAAAAGATCATGGCAGTACCATGAACCAAATTTCAGCACGGCTAATTCCAGAAAAAAAGTCCAACACAATTTAATTCACAATTTAATTCCCTCCCAAGCGTAACCTCAATAGCCATTCCTATGCTTCAAATAGCATCAGAAAAACACATGGGCACCCTGAGTACATACCCTCCCTCTTTACAATATTAGCCAGCATGGTAAACAGACTCTGTGAACCTTTTCATTTCTCCCGATGGTTTGAGGTTTTTCTCTCATGCAATTATCAGTAGCTTAGGCATTTTCACTCTTACTCTGCCACTTTGTCATACACACAAAAGCAAATACACATGCTAAAAGCAAGGGCAAACAGGGTGACATATGGGGAATGAAATGCCACAGCAGTCATTTTTCAGTATGTGAGTGCCACTCCATTATTTAATTAGCACATGCTATGATAAGTTTAATGAACCAGCAGTGCGCTCCCTTCCTTATCAAAGGCCCGGCCCGTGTTTGTGTTTAGGTCTCTGATTAAATGACCAGAT